CTTCTTCTTCTTCTTCTTCTTCTTCTTCTTCTTCTTCTTCTTCTTCTTCTTCTTCTTCTTCTTCTTCTTCTTTTTAGAGACATGGTTTCTCTAGCTTTGGAGCCTGTTCTAGAACCCATTCTTTAGACTAGGCTGGCCTCGAACTCACAAAGATCTGCCTGTCTCTGCCTCCCAAGTGCTGGGATTAAAGGCGTGTGCCACCATCACTAGGAAGGCTGCATTGTTCTTTCTTTCTTTTTTTTCTTTTTCTTTTTGTTTTGTTCTGTTTTCCGAGACAAGATTTCTCTGTAGCTTTGGAACCTGTCCTGGAACTAGCTCTTGTAGACCAGGCTAGCCTCGAACTCACAGAGATCAGCCTGCCTCTGCCTCCCGAGTGCTGGTATTAAAGACGTGTGCCACCACCGCCTGGTGGCTGCATTGTTCTTAACATTTGAAGTCATGAATGCATGCTGAGCAGATGCTCTGTGGGTAGCCTAACATACATTAGGCCTGTGATCCCTAGCATGCATGCATAAACTGAGCATGCCTGTAATCTCAGCACTCAAGAATTGGGGGGGGGCAGAAGGATCAGAAATCCAAGGTCATTCTTGGCAAGATAGTAATTTGAGCCCAGCCTGGCCTACATGAGACCCTATTTCAAAACATAAGAGAGATAAGATGATTCAGCAGGCAAAGGCATTTACTTCTCTCGCAGTTCCCAGCAACCACCTGGCAGCTGACAACAATCTGTATTGCGGTTCTAGGGGATCAGATGCCTCTTCTGACCTCTGAAGGCTCCTGCACACACAATGTGCACACACACACACACACACACACACTCAGGCATACACACAAACACATACAAATAAAAACAAGAAACAAATCCAAAACATTACCCCACTGCAAAAGTCATGAACTCAACAAGCCCTTACAGTATGCCAAGAGCTGGGCTGTCTTTGGTTGTGGGGTGAAGCAACTGCTCTCTTATGGGTAAGCCGTCCTGGAGCTTCTTGGGGTTTGACTCTGGGAGAGAAGCCCGCTGTCTCATAAGAAAGCCTCTTGCCCAGTGTGGTACTCTGACCCCTGTCCCAGCCCTTCTGAGCTTGTGTCCAGATCATGGACACAGATGACTTAGGTGGCCAGTGGCGGTGTCATAGGCCCTGGGGAGTTCCTCCAGGCTGGTCAGGTGAGGCCTACAGCAGATGCCATGTTCTGCAGGGATGCTGTGCCCGCTTCGGCACGAGAAGGGCAAGAAGATGGTGGTGTGCAAACACTGGCTTCGAGGGCTCTGCCGAAAGGCTGACAGCTGTAAATTCCTACACCAGTATGACATCACCAGGATGCCGGTTTGCTACTTCCACTCAAAGTTCGGTAATGCCCTGCCTGGTCTGTGGGGGTGATGGGGAGTGTCGAAAGTTTGGTAATGCCCTGCCTGGTCTGTGGGGGTGATGGGGAAGGTCGAAGAGGCCCGGAAGCCCAGCCTTGTCTGTCCGAGCCCAAGCTGCCTGCTTCTCTGAATCCTAAGAAATCGAACCAAGGCTGGGCCCAGTGCAACGCACCTCTAATCTCAGCACTAGGGAGGCTGGGGCAGGAGATTCAGGAATTCATGGCCAGTCTCAGATACAGAGAAGTTCAAGGGTAGCCTGGACTGCACGAGCCTTTGTCTAAAAGCAACAACAGCAACAAAACAATACGAAGTAGGGTCAGTTGTGGTGGGGTACTCCTTTCATCCCAGCAGGCAGAGGCAGGCAGATCTCTGAGTTCAAAGTCATCATCGTAAGCTTCAGGCCAGCCAGGGCTACACAATGAAACTGTCTCAAAAATAAGCCAATAGGGGGCTGGGGAGGTGGTTCTGGGATTAAAAGCATTTACTGCATTTCTAGAGGACCTGGATTTGATTCCCAGAACCCACTCGGCGGCTCCCAGTCCCCTAGAACTCCAGTTCCAGGGCATCTGATGCCCTCTTCTGGTGCTCTCAGGTTCCAGGCACACACATGCTGCACATACACACATGCAGACAGGCAAAACCACCCATACACATAAAATAAAAAGAAACAAACCTTTAAGAAACAAATAAAAAATAAAAATAAATAAAAGCTGCAGAGCCAAATCTGCCATCGGTTAGTCTCAGCGTGGCTGTCACCTCCAAGGGAAAATAATGTTGTTTTCCACTCCAGGCATGGCTAACCCACACCCAGAGACGGTCAGGAACAGCCCTGAATGATCTACTTCTCAGTCCCTACGGGACCAGTCAGGCCTTCCCACATGAGATGTATTTGGTAGCTGCACTCAGAATGGTCACCAGAACCCAGGAGACACCGCCACCCCCCCCCCCCCCCCGACTTCTTCCTGTTCTGCTATTTCTAACTTTTATTTTAGATGAAAATGTCATCTTACCTCCCAAAGCGGAAAGCCTGCATCACTTGATGGAAAGAGAAGGTCACTGTGTATATAAAGCCACGAAGTTCAGAAGTCTGGTCCCTAAAATTATCTTGTGTGGTCAGGTCTGCTCCAGACTCCCTTGGGGCCTCAAGTCCTTCTTGGTCATCCCAGGCGCTATTTAGGGCAGCCACAGTCACCTGTCCACTCACCAAAAGATGGAGCCCATGAATGTTTACCTTCCCAGAGTCAAGTCTACATATTGGTGTTTGATTAGTTCCGGTGTGGCTGGGATTATCTAGTCCACTGGTTTCTAAACTGAGGGGTTGGAGGAGGGAGGGGAAGAAGAGTGGGAAGGAGGGAGCATGTTGGATCTTGGAGCCCACCCCTCATTCAGGAGACCGCAAGGCCACACTCCTTGCAGGTAGCCAGTTTCATTAGTGCTGATGGGAAGGGTCCTGGGTACCTTGAAGCTGGCACAGTCTCTCTGGGTTGTGTGTGTGTGGGGAAGGCAGGCAGGGAAAGTTCATCCCATTCTTCCAGTCCAGCATTCCAGACTGCCTGCTCCAGAGAGCCAAGTCCTGTGGCAGTTCATGAGGGCTGCCAGAATATCGTTCTAAAATAGAAGGATAAAGTTTATCTGGAGACTGGTCCCTGAAGCTACCGCCTGAAGCATTTCACTTAGAACTGTCCCTTTACTCTCTCAATCTGGTGATCAGATGTGGTACTGGGCCATGTTTGCCTACAAGTAATTTAGGGCAGCTGTGTAAACTCATGATTATATGTAAGCCAAGGTTTTGCTTTTTTTTTCTTTTTTAAGATTTATTTATTATGTATACAGTGTTCTGCCTGCATGCATCCCTATACACCAGAAGAGGGCACCAGATCTCATTACAGATGGTTGTGAGCCACCATGTGGTTGCTGGGAATTGAACTCAGGACCTCTGGAAGAGCAGTCAGTGTTCTTAACCGCGGAGCCATCTCTCCAGTCCAAGGTTTTGCTCTTAACAGTGAGTGAATATCTCTAGTATTACACAAATAATTGTATAAGTATATACTAGATGTGGTGGTACATGCTTTTAATTCCAGAACTCAAGAGGCAGAGAGAAACTCTGTGAGTTCTAGGCCAACCTGGTCTATTATATAGAATTTCAGACCATCCAGACTTACATAGCAAGCCTGGTTTAATATATATATATATTTATATATATAAAATTATATATATATATATATATATATATATATATATATATATATAGAGAGAGAGAGAGAGAGAGAGAGAGAGAGAGGTGCTACCATGGGCTTCAGCAGTGTCTTTATTTAAAAAACAAAAACAAATAAACAATACCTGGCATTCCTTTAAATGATGGCACATTCCTCTAAACCCAGCACTTAAGGGGACAGAGGCAGGTAGATCTCTGTGAGTTCAAAGCCATGTTGGTCTACAGAGTAAATTCCTGGACAACCAGGGCTACACAGAGAAACCCTGTCTCAAAAAGCCAAAACAAACCAAACCCAAAAAAACCAAAAAACCAAAACCAAACCCCTGCTGGATCAGCAAGTACTGCAGAGAGAACACGAGACGTAGACTGACTGGAAGGGGCTGTGATGTAACACTGTGAAGCCATCCTCGCGGTGGCCCAAGATTTTGCCGGAATGACACTGTTTTGGGGTCAGTAATGCCTTGTTCATGGTCTGTAACTAAGCCTAAGAAACTCGCACGCGTGCACACACATACACGCACTCACACACTCACTCACTTACTCACTTGTGTTGATGCTTGGGAGCCGGAAAGAACATTTAGAGACAGGATGGCCAACGCTGGAAAGGAGTATGAGCAGGTACTAAAGAGAGTGGAGGCTGGAGTGTTGCTGCCACCTGCTGGCTAGGAGCAGATATAGCAACGTGCAGCAGCCCAAGCGTTTTGAGTCCTAAAGAGGCTTAAACCCAGGGGATAACACTCTACCAAGTTGGCTAAGGATGTGTCACCAAATGCTTTTGGTGTGAGGAAGCTGGGCGAACATATGAGGCACTTGCTTCTCCCTGAACGCTGGCATTCGCGTTTGTGAAATGGAAGGGCTGGGAAGGAATGACCAATGCTTAGGAATCAAGAGACCTCTTCCTCGGGTGAAGCATCATCTTGGAGAAGAGCCCTGCCTGTAATAAGATAACTCTCTGGCAGACCGTACAAAGACCCTGTTCACTCCAAAGGACACAGTTGTAGGTTTTGGGGAGTGGGGGGAGAGCAGAAACGTTCACAGGTTCTCCTGAGAAAGTCAACAGAATGGGTCATAATCTCTCTCCTTCAGATCTGCCTAAGGGAAACCTAAGAGCCACAGCCTGTGCCTACAAAGCTGTCTCCTTGTGAGAATGCAGTAGAATAAGACGTGGTTTACTGCACAGATAGCACCGCCTAGGCTCACGGCTAAGGGGTGGGCCCTCGGAAAGGGGCCCCACTGGGCCCAACCAGAAGCTCTGCTCTGTCCTTGGTATTTCTTCCAAAACACCCCCGCCCCTCCTTGGACTCTGGGAATAGTGGAGAAGAACTTCCTCTTCCAGTGGCAGAGGTCTTCCAAAGATGATGGACACACAGAAGACGGGCCAGTGGGTTCCATGGGAGGGAGGACCGAGGTAAGCCAGGTCGGGGATGCAGGAGTGGTCCAAAGCGTGGACCTGTTTATATACAGAGTACAACGGGTTTTTCAGGTAACTGCAGCAACAAAGACTGCTTCTTCCTCCATGTGCAGCCAAGTCCCAAGCCCCAGAACTGCCCTTGGTATGACCAAGGATTCTGCAAGGATGGTGAGAGCCTGGCAGACAGGGATGGGATGCACAGAGGGACGAGGGTGACCCAGACGGGGATACTCAGTAGGCAAGGAGCTCCCCACGAGGGCTTGTGCCATCTACAGGCCCCAGGGGGAAGGCTTTCTGAATTTGTCTGAGGCTTGCACGACAGTGGAGAAATCTCCCGAGACACTGGGGAATGCAGCCTGGTGTCGGGCACAAGGGCTTCCCAGGAGGGCTGGGGATTCACAGCCTACCCTTCTCAGTGGGTGAATGTGGGACCTTGGCTGAGAAGCCTAGCAGGCTAGTGATAGACACAGCTCCCATGTGCTGAAGGCCACTTAAGTTCTACCCTTTGCCCTGCTCCCAGCCAAGCATAGAAGGTAGGGTCCCCGTGGGTCCCCAGGACTTATGATCATGTGTCTTCCAGTGTGATAGGGAAAGATGGCTTGAGCAAGCTCTCGCCTTTTTGGGGCTGAGGGAAGGTAAAGAAAGGGATGGAATCCCGGGTAGCATGATCCACGCCTGCTTTACCCCTGAACCACATGCCCAGCCCTTCCGGGAATCAAGGTTTCTACCCCTGTCTCCTGGCTTCAGGCACATCCATGGCCGGAAGGCTTATGCACCCTCTTCCCAACGGAAAGCCTACCGCAGCCCACGCTCTTCCTCATGAACTATTTCATGTTTATTCCCTCCTCGGGAAGGAAGGCTCTCGTGGCCATTTGCTCTTTGTCTCCTAGGTCCCTGGTGTAAATACCGCCATGTCCATCAAGTCCTGTGTCTCAACTACTTCACGGGTTTCTGCCCCAGGGGACCTAAGTGCCAATTTGGGCAGTAAGTATGATTCTTCCCGATTCACTGGAGCGCTGGACCCTACCGCCTGGGTCTAGACCATTCCGGTCTTTCCTTAGTGGGAGATTATGCAGCTAGTATATCCCTAGTGATTTCCATCTCTTTTATTTTATTTTTATTTTTTGAACATTTATTTTATTTTATGAACATTAGTGTTTTGCCTGCGTATATGTCTGTGTGAGGGTGTCAGGTCCCCTGGAACTGGAGTTACAGACAGTGAGCTGCCATGTGGGTGCTGGGAATTGAACCCAGGTCCTCTGGAAGAGCTGTCAGTGCTCTTAACCGCTGAGGCACTTCTCCAACCCCATCTACCTAGTGATTTTCATTGCAGTGTTTTCCTCACCCTGGAGGTCTGGGTCTGTTGACTGGGTGGACTCCAGTCCTCTCTCTTAACACTTACTCACAATGGGACAGGCGTGTACCTCTCTCGAAGGCTGTTCTAGAAATGAGTGGAAACATTCCCAGTCACTTCCTGAGTCCTCAGAACCACTGTGCAGGGCTTAGGGCGAGGACTCCTTCCCCGGGGGGCCCTGGAATGGGAAGTCTGCAGCGAGCTAATGAGCAGGGCTAGAAGGCTAGAGCTGACTCTAACACACACGTTCTCTCTCCCTTGCCATCCCGTTCCACCCTCCCTCAGTCCCAAGATGAGCCCAGTACTGCACCCCAGTAATGTGAAGGTAAGTGTAGCACTTGGGGTGCCCACATAGTGTTTCCCTCTTTTGGCCCCCACACCTGTCTGGGTTTCCTGGCACTGTGCTGTTCTCAGGAGACCCCACTCTTTCGAGTCCAGTCCTGTAAAAGGCACATGGGGACCTGTGTATGGGGCACCTTGCTGAAATAACCAGGCTAGCTAAGGATAAAACAATTATATTCTATTTATTATAAGGGGAAAACTCAAGAAACAGGAAACGAGAAATCCAAGTATAGCAATGTCCTGTGGGAAAAGGCTCAGAGAGCATGCACACGGAGGTGCACACGGTTTACCCTGGGTCGCAACACCTGCATACAGTCCTCTGTCATTTCTGCACCCCTCCATAGGACCCCTCCATAATCACCCCGAGGCCTTCCTTTTCTCTAGCTGGGTAGCACGGGGATGGCTTCTTTCCTTTGCTTGTTGTTATATTTTTTATTATTTATTTACTTTGTGTATGTACGTGGGTATGTGCACGCCACAGTGAGTGTGTGGAAGTCAGAGGACAACAACCGGGGGCCATTGGTCTTCTCCTGCCACCTGAGTCCCGAGGGCAGAGCTCAGGCCCTCAGGCTTGGCAGCAGGCACTTTTACCCACTCAGCCATCTTGCCACTGACAAAACCCCAGGACTTCCAGTCCAAAGTCAGCTTTCTGAATGAAGACTAGGGTGATTCATAAATTTCCCTGGTTCCTAGGGAGATACATATTATCCCCATTGTTACCAGGCATCAGTGAGAACTCACGCCAAGGGTCAGCACACTGCTGTCTTCAGGCAGTGTCCGGCTCATCATACGTCCCCACCCCCACTTCAGTGCTGGAAACTGGATCCAGAGTCCTAGGTGGCCAGGCCAGTGTTCTGTTGCTGAGCAGCAGCTAACATCCCCAGGCTCCTAATGCGTGACTCCCTGCTCCTTCCCTCCCACTTTCTTTCTTTTGAGGTTTTTTGTTGTTGTTGTTTGTTTGTTTTCAAGATTTATTTATTTATTATGTATACAACATTCCTTTCATGTATGCTTGCATGCCAGAAGAGGGCACCAGATCTCATGGTGCCCATAGCAACCATGTGGTTGCTAGGAATTGAACTCAGGACCTCTGGAAGAGCAGTCAGTGCTCTCAACGTCTGAGTCATCTCTCCAGCCCCTATTGTTGTTGTTTCTAAGACAGGGTCTCACTATTTAGCTCTGATTGAGGTCTGGCTGGCCTGGGACTTCTTGTGTAAACCAGGTTGGTCTCACATTCAGAGATCCACCTGCCTCTGCCGCCCCAGTGCTGGGACTAAAGGCGTGCATCATCACTCCTGAATAGTGGCTTTTTCTGTGAGGAGAGAGATGAGGATGGGTTTTAAGCAGCTGTGGGAAGGGCCGGAGAGATAGTTCAGTGGTTCAGAGTAGGCGCTGCTCTGACAGAGGACCCCAGTTTAGTTGCCAGCACCCAGGGAAGCTGACTCTTCCAGCTTCTCTGGGCACCAGCACCCACTTGCGCAAACCTACACATATGTACATCCTTAATCAAAACTCAGAAGGTTGAAGGGAAATGAGAAGACTATTTTGTGTCGTGGAATAATCTTTCCAGGGCTCGTAGCCGCCTTACTGGACCGGCATCGCCTCTTTCACCACCTGCACATTGCCTCTATGGTTTGAATGTGCTAGGATCACCAACTCAGCTCCAGGCTGGATGTCCTCAGGGCAGTAGTGCCAGGCTGGTGCTTAGGGGGAGGTCTCAAGCATCCTCACGGGACTAGATCCTGATGAAAGTGGTTGTTATGAGCCAAGTTGGGCTTTCCCGACTTCCTTGCTCACCAGACTTCTGCATGCACCTGCTCCCTCTTCACTTGGTACAGCACAAGGACCCGCCCAGGAGCCGAGTAGACACTGCTTACAGGTCTTAGCCCTCAACCTCCAGAATGTGAGATCAGCAAACCTCTTGTCTTTTTTTTTTTTTTAAAAAAAAAGAGGGGAATGTTGTGTTGTGTGATATTTGTTTGCACTGACACTCCAAAGGCAGTGTTGGATAAAAGTGTTGATAACACTGAGGAGGTGGAGGCAGAAGGTTCAGGTTCAAGGCCACCCTTGGCTACATCTAGAATTTGAGGCTAGCCAGAGTCACATGGGACACTGTCTCAAAAATAAAGTATGTGTGTGTGTGTGTTTGTGTGTGTGTGTGTGTGTGTGAGAGAGAGAGAGAGAGAGAGAGAGAGAGAGGAGAGAGAGAGAGAGAATATACTTAAATCATGTCATAAAATTCTTGAAGAACTAATTTATAAAATACATTGGGAACAGCAAAACAAATCAATGCCAGCGCCCCCATCCCAAAGCAATCTCTCATGTCAAAATATAAAAACCAGACCCCCAAACCTCAGAACCTGGGTATTTGGGTGACCGTGTCTACACCGGGAGTCTCTGCAGCACGGGTACCTCCTGGCCCTCTATCTGCAGCTTGTCAACCAGCCCAGGGATGGAACAGCTCCAGCTTCCTTTGGCAACACTCTAGCAGCCCCTTCCCTGGCGAGGTTCATGGTCTACCAGAAGAGGGGGGCCCTGCCTCCTGCCTGCGGCTCAAGCGTCCCACATGCCCCATAGGTAAGTGAAGGAACCCATAGGGCAGGGAAAGCGCTTCGGTCTCCTGAGGGCTGCAGGGGGAAGGGCTGAGCATCTAGCTGGAGACCCTGACTCCATGTTTGCAGCAGATGAGGATGCCACGTTGGGGTTCAGGAATGTGAATGGCGAGAACCGAGGGTCTGGTGGGAAGGTGCATGCCTGTAATCCCAATGCACCGGGCAGTCTGGAGGACTGCACCACGTCCGAGGCTCATTTAATCTACCTAGCGAGCTCCAGGCCAGACAGGCTGTGTGCGGAGTGAGTCCCTGCTGAAAAGAAAACTGAACTGCTGGGTGTGGTGGTGTATACCTTTGGTTCCAGCACTCCGGAGGCAGATGCAGGTGGCTCTCTGTGAGTTGGAGGTCAGCCTGGTCTACAGAGTGAGTGAGTTCCAGGTAAACTAGGGCTGCACAGTAAGATCTTGTCTCAGATAAATAAGCAAAATATAAAAAATAAACAATGCCTTTATGAGGTAGATTACCATCAGCACTGGACTGTATTGTTTTTTTCTTTTTAACCAAACAAATGATCAGGTGTCACACACCTTTAATCCCAGCACTCAGGAGGCAGAGGCAGGTGGATCTCTGTGAGTTCGAGGCTGGCATGGTCTATAGAGTGAGTTCCAGGACAGCCAGGGCTACACAGAGAAACCCTGTCTCGTTAAAAAAAAAAAATGGAGGCAGGAGGATCAGAAGTTCAAGGTCATCCTTGGCTACCTGGGTAGTCTGGGCTACAGAAGACCTAGTTTCAAAAAGAAGAAAACGTACAGTTATACCTGGATGCTAGGTAAGAGGGCAGAACTCTTTATTTTCTTGGATGTTTGACTTTGAAAAGCAAGAACCACCTTGTCTGCAGGATGGGAGCTAAATGGGAACCTGAAGTCTCTCTTTTGGGTCCAGATTTTGCGATTATTCCCAGGCTGGTCTCAAACTATTGTACTTACCACCTCAACCTTCTGAACAAGACCCCTGTTGAGGCTGGAGCAGCCAATAAGGTTTTTTTTTGTTGTTGTTGTTTGTTTGTTTTGAGACAAGGTTTCTCTGTGTAGCCCTGGTTGTCCTGGAACTCATTCTGTAGACCAGGCTGGCCTCGAACTCACAGAGATCCCCCTGCCTCTGCCTCCTGAGTGCTGAGATTAAAGGTGTGTGCCACCACTGCCAGAGCCAATGAATTCTTTTTATTTTTATTATTTTTCAAAAGAGTTATTTATTTATTATGTATACAACATTCCTTCCATGTATGCTTGCATGTCAGAAGAGGGCACCGGATCTCTTTATAGATGTCTGTGAGCCACCATCTGGTTGCTGGGAATTGAACTCAGGACCTCTGGAAGAGCAATCAGTACTCTTAACCTCTGAGCCATCTCTCCAGCCCCGAGCCAATGAATTCTTTAGAAAACCAGCCGTGGTTCTCCGGACAAGTGAGGATTTTTCTTTGCAGAATTCCTAAGAAGGTATGACCTTAACTTTCTCTCTTTTCTTCAAAAACCAGGCCACCAATGCCAGTGATGAAGGCTGTACCAGTCGGAGTCACCAAGACCCAGCCTGTAGCACAGGAACTGGAAACCCTTCTAGTAAAGGGGCTCCCTGGCCTCCCCAGGGAATTCTGCACCCAGTGGTCCAGTGAACCCCATCACCCCAGTGAGATACAGGATGCAGAAACAGCCTACAGCATCTGGCCTATTTCCAACTACCCTGCGCATGAACAAGCTGAAAAAAATCAGGGACAAAGGTCGGCTGACTGTGGTGTATCTGTGAACCAGTGGAGGGAGCCAAGTGCACTGAACTCGACCAGGTCAGTCAGTATCCTGTATGCAGCTTCCATGCTCTTGCCGACCACTCTGGGCCAATAGTCTCAAGAGCTCCCGAAAATGGGCAATCTAAACAAACAGTGGCTTTTCAGCTTGGCAGCTGCTTCCCCGTATGGTTTGTTTAACTCTGAGAATATATTCTGTGTCTTACATGAAGCTGGATTAATTCCTTTTTTTCTTTCTGTCTTTTTTTTTTTTTTTAAATGCTGTGGCAAAGCAGCCAACTTGGGGTTTATTTTGAGAGGACATAGTCAATCATGGCAGGGAAACCATGGCAGGAGTGTGAACTGGCTGGTCGTGTTGAATCCATTCAAGGAAGCTTAGAAAAAGAAATGATTGGCTTCTTTCTTTTTCAAATTTGGTCTGGAAATCCAGGACATGGAGAGGGTGCTACCCATGTACTGTAGATGCTACATGGATTGCAGAGATTCATGGGTTCATGGCCTGTCTTCTCCACTCAGTGAGCCCTAACACCTCCCCAGACACATCCGGAGGTGTATCTCCTAGGTATGCAGCCTGGCTGACATAGATAGATCAACCCTCCCAGGCGGACTAGGCATTGGTGTATAGAAAAGGCTTATCCTGCCGAGCTAGGGCAGCGACCAGGACGGTCTCCACTATGACAAAGCAAACACAACAATGCCTTTATCCACTGGGAAGAAGGGGGCAGCTAAGAGGACATTTTCAGTACAGAAGGCAGCCTACAGAAGGACTAGGTGGAGCATGGCTACTTGGCCTCCTTCAGTGTGAGTGCTTTGCTGAGGCAATGCATAACACAGGCCCAGGGGACCATTTTCCGTGTTCCCATACCATTTCAAACCACCCTAGGATGCTGTGATAGCTTTTGGCCATGCAGGAAAACTGCCTAACCTCCTCTAGCCTGCTTCCTTAATCTAGAACTCAAGCAGTCACGACATAGGGCTGTCATACAGGTAAAATGACCCAGTACATGTGACAGAACTCTGCAGGACACCTGGTGGCATGGAGCACATGGTGACCACTGCTGTTTGAGAAAGTTCTAGCAAAGTCAACGGTGCAGACCACACGCGTCCAGCACCTTTTGCTTTCATTTTTAATGACTCTCACTGTTAATGCCTTTCCCTTTGGGAAATTTTGTGTGGGCTTTGGTAAAGGATAAAAATGTGTACAGTGGTTGTTGGCAAACTTCCAGGCAAACACAAACCTGGCCCCGCCCCTTGGGGACCCGGCAGAGGCAGAGTGAGCATCCCTGCATGCATGGCAGGCAATACCCTGACTCTAGGTGCAAAGGTCCTTTTAAGAGACAAGTCCTGCCTACTCCTCTCTTCCTGCTGTTCTGAAGAGACAAGTAGGTCTCTGCCCCTCCCTCCCTCTCTCTCTCTCCCTCTCTCTCTCTTTCACCCTTCCTCCCTCCCTTCCTCTCTCTCTTCCCTTCCCTTTACCCTTCTCTCAATAAATTCAAGCTCTGTCTGCATGGCCTATTTGTCTTTCATCTGCCATGGGACCTGCTAAAGGCCCCTCCCACTTTACCGTGTATTCACAACAATGGCATCCCCTCTAAACAAAATAATTCTTTGGGGAAAAAAAAAAATCCCTGCTACCATGGAACCAGAAATTCCATTGTGCCCTGCTAATTATACCAAGAACAGGAACGTTAGAGATTTACTAGATGCACCTGATCCCAAGGATGAAATGCCTACAGTTCAGATCCAGAGCCTGAGGCCATTAAAGGCAAGAGTTCAGTTAATAAATACAGAGAAATCAGAATGGTGCGGTATAATGAGAAAAGAATAAGACATCAGGACCTTCCCTTTTAGGAGAGTTATGAGGGGAACAGGCCCATATAGTAAGACTGAGAAACTGTAATATAGTGTCTCTTCATTCCCTTGGGGGCCTGAAGAAAGTTCCTACTCGATAAAACAGTCATTCCTCTTATCTCTGGCAAGAGGAACTTGTGGTCCTTTCATTATGCATAACTGGTGCCTACTGTCAAGTTCAAGGCTAGCTTCAACTCCAGGTCTCAAGCTACACCCTAGCTCACAGGCCCCTTGTCTCCAGTTTAATCCTAGATGCAACTATGCAGTATAAAAGGGGTAACCTTTTCTCAATTAAAGGCTTCAGGCAGCCATCCCGATTCACCCTCAGACTGTGTTTATCTCTCCGTGCCCCCTCCCCCGCCTCCACACCTCCTCTTTGGAACCTGAACCCCCTGCCGGAAGCTGGTCCAAGTGTGGGCTGCTGCTGTCTCCTCCCAGGTTTAGAGCTTTTAAATGACAAATGAGTCCCTGTGGTGGTTTGAATGGGGATGGTCCCCATAGGCTCATATATTGGAATGCTTGGGAAGAATTAGGAGGTCTGGCCTTGTTGAAGGAGGTATGTCATTGGGTTGGGTTTTGAGGTTTCAAAAGCTCATAGCATTTCCAGTTAGCCCTCTCTGTCCCTCTCTCTGCTTCATGGTTATGTCAACTCCTGCTCTAGCATCAGGGCTGCCTGCCTGCTGCCATGTTCCCTGACATCGTTGTGACCACGTCACAGGACTCCCAAACAAGACCACCACAGAGCCAGTATCCGATGCAAACACACTGGGGTTTATTCAAGCTAGCTTGGACCATAATCCAACACACTGATGCAGCAGGAGGAGGGAATCGACCCTGAGGCAAGGGGTTTTTAAAGGGAAAAGCCACAAGCAGGGCGGCACAAGCTTTGGCGTTTTAGGACTGCATACAAGCACACAACGTTTGATTTTGTTGGTGGGGGTATTTCAAAACAGTGATTGTCAGCAGACAGGAATTTTAAAACACCTGCTAATCAGATACCTATAAGGACGTTTGAAGCAAGCAGATGTTTGGATACTCTGGTAGGTCGCTTTGACCAGGGCAGGCACAGTTTATGATTGCTGATGATTTTGCTGGGCAGCACTCACCCCCCTAGTTAAGTCCTGTATAAAATATTCTTTCTTGGGCTGGAGAGATGGCTCAGCAGTTAAGAGCATTGCCTGCACTTCCAAAGGTCCTGAGTTCAATTCCCAGCAACCACATGGTGGCTCACACCATCTGTAATAAGGTCTGGTGCCCTCTTCTGGCCTGCAGGCACACACAGAATATTGTATACATAATAAATAAATAAATAAATAAATATTAAAAAAGTTCTTTCTCAAAATGGAGTTTGTTCTGTTCCTTCACCATGATGATCATGGACTTACCCTATAAGCCTCTGTAAGTTGCCTTAGTCATGGTGTCTTAGCAGAGCAGTAGGGTAGGAAGTAGTAAGTCCCCATCAGCTGTCTCTTGGATTAGAGTTACACATCTCTTCAGGGAGAGTCAAATCTATCCCAATTTAAGCGTTCAGAAAGGAGGCTCTATACCACCCCTCAGGGAACCTATACCACCCCTCCCACGGTGCTGCCAACCACTTCTCTGAGGGCGGAAGAGGTGAATGATCCCCACAGAGGTTATTTTTTTTAAAAAAATAGTTTCATTATGAAGAGCGTTGACTGGTTTTCTCATTAAGATAGCCTGTGAATAATATGAATTGTATTTTCCTTTCTTGATACAGGGTCTTATGTTGAAGCCCAGGCTGTCCTCAATCTCACTATAGAGCTGAGGTTGACCTTGTCTCTAACTCCCGAGTGATAACTGCATATACAGTTCTACTGTATTTCTTTGTGTGGTGCTAGGGAACGGAACCCATGGCCTCTAGTACATGCGCTCTTCCACTGAGCTACCTTTACCCTTAAAATAACTTTTAAAACAAGTTCTCATTATGTAGTTCAGACTGACCTTGAACCTGTGATTTCTTTCCCCCCCTGATTTTTTGAGACAGGGTTTCCCAGTAGCTGTGGAGCTAGTTCTAGAACTCACTTTGTAGACCAGGCTGTCTCTGCCTCCTGAGAGTGTGTGCTACCTACCACCACCCAGCGAATTTGTGATCTTCTTGCCTCAACCTCCCAAGGTGTGGTTTACCATGCCTGGTTTAAGATCCAGCATTGCTTTTGTTGTTGATGCTGGAGACCATACCCAGGGGAAAATCTACCTCTGGGCTACACCCCCAGGCCCTGTGTGTGTGTGTGTGTGGGGGGGGGGAGGTTGGGCATGCATACTACATTCTAGTGAAGGTCAGAGAACCTGTGGGAGCTGCTTGTCTCCCTCTACCAGGGAGTTTGTCCTGGGGAGTCAAACTCTTAAATTTTTTTTTGTGTGTATTTTGCCTGTATGTGACCATAAGCATGCCCAGTGCACTTGGAGTTCAGAAAAGTGTGATTTCCCCTGGAACTGGAGTCACAGTTATGAGTTACCATAAATATTGCCATGAAACCCAGCTGTGGGCTTAATTAGTGATTCACGTGAGAGGGCCTGGCCTACGGTGGGCGGAGCAATAAGAAAGCAGACCGAGCAAGCCAATAAGCAGCTCCCCCTTCCATAGCCTCTGCATCAGCTCCTGCCTCTAAGTTCCTGCCCACTTTTTTCAAAGATGAACAGTGTTGTGGAAGCGTGACTTACCCCGCCTGGCCCACACCTCTAATCCCAGCAGTCTGCAGGTGGATCTCTGTGGGCCAGGCAGGACGACAGTGTGACCCTATGTTCAAAACAAAACACGTGCAATGACTCTACTCTTTTCTACGACCGAGCAGCTGCTGAGGTTTATAGCTCGTCTGCCCCATTTCCTCGCTTAAACTCTAATAGAATTGTTTTTTAACAAAAGAAACAAAGAGGTGTTTTCTGCAGTTTTATTACTGGCACCCTCCCTGCCCGCAGCACAAACTTCGAGTGTTTCGTCTGCTCGGCAGTTGTCTCTGTCACACGCTCCCTGGCTCTCGGACGTGCTCGGCATTACTTGCGCCAGCGCTGCAGCTCTTGGGACAAAGAGAGACAAATATGAGAACCTGGGAATACGTGTCTTGCTAACCGACTTTTATCTCTGCTTTTTAAATATTTTGGTTTATACACTTAGGATTCTTCTTGGGCCTAAGAACATCCTGTTTCCGTCTTCAGAGATGAAAAAGAAAATGTCCAGGTCGGGTGCATGGCACCAGCAGCACTAGGGGCAGAGGTAGGACAAGGTCAACCTGGGCTAGACATTAAAATGCCACGTGACTAATACCTTTGGATTGGCTCGCCTGGGAACAAGCTCTGTCTTTAGGGAGATGGGATTCTCGTTTGTATTGGGATCCCATATTTCACGAATGGCCCACTGCGCCTGCTCCAAGGATAGCTGTTGTCTTTGGCAGGATGCTCAGCATGCAGGGGTGTGCTGCAGGACTCTTCAGACAGGGACTGAGTAGGTACACTGAGTTTTCATCTGAAATAGCCTAGGCTCCTGCCACCTCTTAAAATTAGGAAAAAATACTAAACTTCTTTTGGCTAGTTTCCTATACCATGAGTTTTTTCTTTCTAAACCCTGAGTCTTTTTTTTTTTTTTTTTTTAAGACCAGGCTGGCCTCGAACTCAGAATTTTGCCTGCCTCTACCTCCCCAGTGCTGGGGAGTTTTTTGCAGTACATGTGTGCCTGCAGAAGTCTGAAGAGGGTGTTAGATTCCTCGGAACTGAAGTTAGGAATGTCTCTGAGCTGCCATGTGGATGCTGGGAACTGAACCTGGATCCTCTTTAAGAACGACAAGTGTTCTAACCACTGAACCAACTCTCCAGCCTCTAGATCTGTTTAAATGAACAAAAGTTGTCTTGGATTAAGAGAAAAGAAATTGGGGCATTTCCTCCTGGCCAGGACTTCAGATGAGCACAGCTATAACTGAACAGGCGATACAATTTGATTTTCAGAGACAGGGTATCGTGTGTGTAGTCTAAACCACCTCTGAACTCATTACCTTCCCACCCTAGCCTCTTGAATGATGGGATCACAGGCATGAACCACCATGACTGGTTCAAGGAGCTTGGTTTTGAACACTGAAGGTAGCCAGACTCAGTGGCTGGAGAGATGGCTCAGAAGTTAAAAGCACTTGGTGGATTTTCCAGAGGTCCTGGGTTTGATTTCCAGCACTTACAAGGCAGCTCAAAACCATCTGTAACTCTAGTTCCAGGGGATCAGCTGCCTTCTCTGGTCTCCACGGACACCAGTCATGTACTTTGTATACAGACATACTTGCATGCAAAATACTTATACACATAAAAAATTTAAAAAAAATAATAAATTAAAAAACAAAAAAGCCGGGTGGTGGCAGTGGCGGTGCATGCCTTTAATTTCAGCACTAGGGAGGCAGAGGCTGACATGGTTTACAAAGTGAGTTCCAGGACAGCCAGAGTTGTTATACAGGGGAAACCCTGTCTTCAAAACAAAACAAAACAAAAACAAACAAACGAACAAAAAAAGATATGCTGACTCTAGCCAGGTGTGGCAGCACGTACCTGCAACCCTAGCACTCACAGGCTGAGGAACAGGGAGTGAGAGGTCAGGGCGGGGGTCTGAGTCCAGGTCTAGCCTGACCTGTGCAGAGAGACCCGGTGAACAAAAAGCTGAAGCTGCTGTGTCTTAAGCACATGGACTCTTTTGTTCCTCTTGCTTTAGGTGGCAGAAAGCCCTTCTAGTCCACTGTGGAAAAGGGGTTCTCAGGCACGAAGGAGGGCGCCTCCCCCTAGTGGGGAACAGTTTAAAGCAGCAAAAGCAAACCAACCCACCAACTGAAGGCCTCCGGCCCACCGCAGGTATCACTAATGGGCAGCTAGAGCAGCCATGTAAATATAACTCAAATCTTGCAGACCTTTAATGGAGCCCCAGTGACATTGGGGCTCCCGGATACTACCACCAGAGCCCAAAGGGAGGTGACGAGTCACTTAGGCTACCTATTACGGCAGCTTACTCAGATGCTTGAAGCTCCAGTTACAACACAGGATGAAGTAGCCAGCGAAGAGCATGGTGAGGCCCCCGACGCTGCTCTTCTTTATGGTGGTGTTGCACCTCACCCAGCCTGTGCAGAGAGAGGGGGCGGGGGCAGATCACGTGGTTAGTGGCCGGGGCATGGCCCGGTATGTGCACACTATTCAAGTCAGTCCTGCTGGACTGTGCATTGAACTCTACCTCACAGAACTTCTGTGCCTATGTAAGTGTGGGCTATACAAAGTCTATACATTTCCATAGCCGGCAGCAAGGTTCAGCTATGGAGGACTGAGTAAATTCAAATCACGGGTTTCCCACATTGGGAGTTGGGTTAAACTCTGGAGTGATGCAAGGTATACACGATTGGTTAGCTGAGGTTCAGCATTGCCTCGGCTGATCACTGTGAGGAGGGGGTGGTTGGGGACAGGTGGCAAGGCTGTCTTTTAAGCAGAGCTGCACAACAAATGGGAGCTGCTGCTCTGTTGGCTTTGGGGTTCCGAATGACACCCGACTCGGAAATGGAAACGCGGAGAACGACAACCACTCCTTTCTCGTCTTGGCTTAACAACCTATAGTGGAGAAATGTCTCCACAAGCCTGGAGCCAGCGAGAGAACCCACCAGTCAGTGACAGCAACCTCACCTTTGTGCACGGCTCCCAGGAGCCTCCTAAGAGGGAAGCTGGAAGTTGTGTGCGCCGGGGCTCCGGAACTCCAGCTATCAGCCGAACTTCGTCCCAACCTAGGAACTACGGTTCCAAACAGAAGTCGCTGTGACAGTCCGTCTAGAATAGCCCCTTCCCACCGTGCAGCTGCGGGGCCTAATGGCTAGGCTTCAGGAAAAGCACACCCCGGCAGGAGGATCAATGAGCACCTCACTGGGATGCAGTTACACCACACACGGAAGTACAATCCTCCTCAGAGACCCTGTACTGTGAAAGACCCATCAAGTGCCCCTGCTGTGTGCACATGCCTGGTCAAACCATAGCTCATCCGCTGAGATTTTAGTAAGAAGTAGGCATTTCTACTACAGGTTGAGTATCCTGAATTGCGTGCACCAAAGGGTTTAGATTTGGGCCTGAAAACAATCTTGAACCATCTACATGTGTACAATGAACTATCTTAGGCCCTAAACCAGAACCAACTATGGAATCTCTGTTCTCTGTTCCCCTGCCTCACTGACGACTGAGCCCAGGATTCTACACACGCTAAAAATGCATGTCTGCCTGCCCTCTACCACTGACCTACACCCACAGCCCCCAAATCCATCTTTGCTTCTGATGAATTTGTCTGACGAACCCTGTCAACATATTCCGAAGACTTCTTTTTAAGCATGCCTGTTTGGACTGCGACCGCCCAAGTGCGGCTAGGCTTGGGACCACCTCCTCCCCAGGAGCGCAGACACCCATGTCAGCACTCAAGACACTGGCTGTCACTTTGGTGCACTGTGGATTCGAGCTTAGGGACGATCGTCACACATACCCCTACTCCCGGTCAGTCACCTTGATCTAGTATGTGTATCTAGCTCTGACCCACTGCCAGGCTTCGGTTGAACCATCCTATTTATGCTGACATGTGAGTAACAAGTAGAACCAGAAAAGAAGGCACGTGTTTTTCTTTCACGTTTTCCTCCGTGGTCAAGCCAGATGTGGTTTTCTGATCTCAGTTTGGTTTGTCAGGACAAAGGAAATTAAAACAGACGGGGTTAGATGTGGTGAAAGCTGCCGGGAATATAAAAATGCTCAAATGATCATATTACATAATACGCTGGGGGCTGGGACAGAGGGCTCAGCAGTAAAGAGCATTTGCTGCTCTTGCAGAGGATTCAGTTTTGGTTCCCAGCATCCCTGAAGTGACTTAAACCATTTTGAAATGATTCCTGGGGATCAGACACCCTCTTCTGACTTCCATGGGCAACTGCATGCATGTGGCACATGGCACATGAACTCACATGAGATACCACATATACACATTACCACACATAAACCAAAAAAAAAAATCTTTAAAAACAAAAACATGCTAGTGTGCAAGGAATTACACAGTTTTTATTTGTGCAAGGTCAAAGTCTCTTAAAAACAAACAAGAAGAAAAATCATGGGGCTGGAGAGATGGCTGCAGTGCTGAAGAGAGGACCTAGGTTCAGTTCCCAGCACCCACATCTAGTAGCTCACAACCACCTGTAACTCCAGTTCCAGGGTCTCTGATGCCCTCTTCTGGCCTCTACAGGCATTACACTTGTGTGCACATTTTACCCCAATACTTTCACATACTTGAAAACAAACAAAATGAAACAAAAAAAGACCGATCATAAAGCCTGGAGATGTAGCTCAACTCAAAACGCTGCCACTGTTGGGCCGTGGTCTCAGCAGTGTTGGTGACCATGGGACTTTGTTTTTCTCTGGTTATCCAAGCTGGGTTTACTTGCAGGTACAGATTCGGAGGAACATACACACAAAAAAAAAAAAAAAAAATCAAAAAATCTGAGCTGTGATCTCGGATGGAGCACAGAGGCCATGGTCACCGCACCCACAGGCCTTTCTTTCCTACCCACAAGTCTTTCTTTCCTAGTTGCCACTCCCAACACTGGGCTCTTATCCCTTATAGCCTTTCCCATCCAATTTCTTTTCTTTTTCTTCAAGACTATGTAGCCCTGGCTGTCCTGGAACTCATCTTGTAGACCAGGCTGGCCTTGAACTCAAAGATCAGCCTGCCTCTGTGTCCAAGTGCCTGGAATTAAAGGTATGCCTTACCACGCTCTCAGCTTGCCCATCCAATTTCTGTTAGGCCTCTTCCCAGTCGAGAAACACAACTGCTGTCAGGATCAGCAGCCTGGCCCAGTCTAACCCTCAACTCTCGATGCAGAAGGGAGAAGAAACATTCCAGATGACTCTGGACTGAGGTCTCTTCTGTCAGTTAAGTCAAGCGTGGGGTAGACTGTGTAGGTGTGGCTAAGTTAACTGAATGAAAACAAGGACTGTCACCCCTACTTCAAAGACGCAGAGCATTCTGGAGGGGCGGGGTGGTCCTCGCAAATGAGCCTGCTTACCTTCCAAGACACTCGCACCCTGGGAAGTGGCAGGGGGAGGCATCTGAGCCACTGAGTTCCAATGCTGAGGCCCCCTTGGCAACACTCCTAGACCGACGTAACCAGGATAGAGTTCTGGAAACCACTCGAGTCCCACAGACCGGGGAAGAGCCTCTGAGTCCGCAGTAGCAACATGACTGATGAGGGCGCTTTTAGATACCGGGTACCGAGCTGAACATGACGGTACCTGGTACCCTGTCTGGGGTGCATGGGGTTGGCGGAAAGACGTGGGTTCCAAAACCTCCCTCTTGCTTCCCACTAATAGTGTTATGGCAGGGACTTGATTCTGGCCATAGAATTTGGCGCTGTCTTCTGGAGACTTCTCAACCGGAGAGGTGAGGCGCTGATGCCCTGACTCTGGTACAGAGAGAAGCTTCCTCGAAGTTCCCTCTGGTGGAGAAAGTACGTTCAAACGTGCCAGGGCTGCCTGTGTTTTTGCCTTTGCTGGTAAAATGGGGTCCTTATTGTCACGGCCCGAGCAAGCCTGTTCCTGTACTTCTGCGGCAGACATGCTGTTGTTCTCAGAATTTCCCTTGTGCTGGCACAACTCTATTCCGAGGTCGAGTTCCTGGTGCTTTCTGACTAGTGTTTTACCCAGTGGAGCGGGGTGAAGGTCCAAGAGGAGTGATTCTGACTTCTTTTGGGTCTCAGTATTGCCAGGGTAGGGAGAGACTTCTGAGATGTGGTCTCCATCTCGGGAACTGCTTTCCTTGTTCAATATCAAGGGTCGGCCTCTTTGAACCCCATGGTTGCTATTCTTTGGTGAATGACAATCACTAACAGGCACGTCTAATAATTTTGCCAGAAGTTTCTGTCTTTGGGGATCGACTGTGTCCAATTTCAGACTTGCAGAAGTGGCCGGTTTAGCATTATGCTGAGTTGAGGAATATTTTCTACCTTGATCAGATAAAACTGGTTCCATTGGGCCAACCAGCAATCCTTCTGTTTCTGAGGGATGACACTGACCTCCCTTGGATCCAGTCACATCTTCGGCAAGTTCTCTCTTGGGAGAGGTGGCATCTGATGCATGAGACTGAGGGGTTGTGACTCTCTGCAGAGTCACCTTTGGCTTGGCGTGACTGAGAGCTTGGAAGGAGGGCTGGTTTTGATCGCTGGTTTTTCCTCCTGCCTCTGTTGTACCCGCTCTATCCAAGACACCTGCTGCCAGTGGAAAGGTGGCAGTTGTCCATTCCGGGCTGCCCTTTGCTGAAGGGGCATTTCTTTTTGCACCCTCCGTCTCTAGCTCTTTACTTTTAGCTCTGGTTAGGCCTTTGGTAGGCCTTGCCTCTTTTTTAGCATGTGAAAGTGAAGCTGGCTCGGACTGATAAACTTTTTGATCAGCAGATATGGGCGGTCCTATCATCTTACAGTGTGGCAAGTGGGATTTTAATCGCTTAAATGGCTTCTTACAATAAGGACACACCTCCATCCTGGGGCCAGCATCAGCCATCCTCTTTCTGGGGAAACAATGAAAAACACAGGTAATCATTTTATGCATGAATTTTAACTCCTTATTTTGTTTGTTTTTCTTGGCTCAATGGTTAAGAGCACTGGCTGCTCTTCCAGAGGACCTGGGTTCAATTCCCAGCACCCACATGGTGGCTCCCAACCATTTACAATGAGATCTGGCGCCCTCTTTTGGCATGAAGGAGGAACACTACATAATAAATACATCTTAAAGAAAAGAGATCTTGTCAGGCGGTGGTGGTGCAAACCTTTAATCCCAGCAGTTAGACAGCAGAAGCAGGTGGATCTCTGTGAGTCTGAAGCCAGCCTGGTCTACAAAGTGAGTTCCAGGACAGGCTCCAAAGCTATACAGAGAAACCCTGTTTCAAAAAACAAAAATAACAGCCGGAGAGATGGCTCAGGGGGCAGAGCGCCCGACCGCTCTGCCCGAGGACCCGAATTCGATTCCCAGCCCGGCATTGCATGTAGTCAGCGCCCCCCCCCCCCCAGCGGCCTGTAGAACGACCCACACACAATCTCCCACCGTCCACTGTAGATCTACTAGATTAGTAGCCCCCCCCCCAAAAAAAAACCAAAAACCAAAACCAAAACAAAAGATAGACTCTTGTAATGCCCAGGCTGGCCTCAGGTTCACTCTGGTCTACAAAGTTCCAGGAAAGTCAGAGTTACATAATGAGACCATCTTAAAAAAAAAAAATTAAAAATAAAAAACCACCATCAACAGCAAAACAAAACCAACAACAACCCCACCCCAAACAATAATCACAACAAAACCAAACCCAAAGATTTAAGTCTAATAAACTAATGCTTAGTCAATGAAATTCAATTTTGTTATTTATGCCAAGTAGAGGTTACATGAATTTAATGAAATTGTTTAAAAACCCTTAAACATGAAAAGAGGAACTACTTAGGGCTTTAAAGAGCAGTTGAGCATTGCGGGATATTTGATCTCAGTGTGTAGCCTTGGAACTCGCTAAGCAGACCAATCTGGTCTTGCACTCACATAGACTGGCTTGCCTCTGCTTCCCGAGTACTGGGATTAAAGACTTGTGTTAGTATGCCTGACCTCTACAAGACCCCCATGCTTGTGGATCACTCACTGTTCACGCGTTTGGCAGAAACTTTGAACGTCAACTTCCGTAACGATCAGAACAAACTAGAGAGCTGATGCAAGAAGTGACCAAGTACTGATTCCTACACAAATAACTGGATTATGCCCCTGGCAGATAACTGGGGATGCTTCTCAAAACTTCCCCAAGAACCCCGGGCCCAGAGTACACTTATTCGAAAAAAAATAAAATGAAACATTCAAAATCCGAGACAAAGTCTTAAGTAGCCCAGGCTAGCTTCGTTTCATAGTCGAGAATGACTTTGACCTGCTGGTCCTCCAACCTCCACCTCCCAAGGGTTGGGATGACAGGTGCGCGCAACGCACGCCCGGCTGGGACCTCGTGATTTCCCCTGGTCACGCTCTTCTAGCCACTAGCCGGGCGTTCCCACGCCTGCCGGTCTCTCCTACACCTTTCAACCCGGCCCCTTCCAGCAGGTGGGCGGGACCGCTCCCAAACGCTGCAGGGACTCCGTTAGTCCGTTCTCCTGATCTGCACTCCCGACCTACAGGAAAGGTCGTGGGAAACAGCCCAGCCCTTGGACACTCCACTGAACCAGTCCGCACCGCTCGAGACGCGAAGTTCCACGCGGCGCTCCCTTCGAACTCGGAACTCACCACAGCCTTCCAACCATCGAACCCAGAGCCTGTGGCCGTCCGCGTCAGTGCCTGATGGAGCTCTCCCAGCTCTTTTCCTTTTTCACCGCATAGATATTTAACGCAGATACAAACATCGATTAGCGTTCCAATAATTTAATGTATTCAAATCCGGCTTGACTTTTACAGCTTGTCCCGGTTTGTTTTTGAACAGGCCGATGCCTCGGACACCTACACAGGGTCCTGGAAGTTCCCCGTCTGTTTTTTCCCCTCTCCGGACACGCCTCTTCCTAGGGGCGGGGTCGTGGGTGAGCGCGGCCAGCGGCGTCCCCCACCTTGCGCAGCCGCAGGAGGACGGTACCACGGCGCCTGCGATATGGGGGGGCGCGGAGGAGACGCCGGAAGTCGCGGTGGTACGGGTCGGTCTGAGGGGTACTCAGCGCCCGCAGCCTCCACCCGCGCGGCGGCCAGAGCCCAGGTCCGTGGGGGTGGGCGTGGCGGTCGCCGGAACACAACCCCGTCGGTTCGCTGTCGGCGCGGGGCGGCGCCGCATCGCTCGCCTTCACCAGCGGCCATGAGCGAGCGTCTCCGCCCCAGGTGAGCCAAGGGGACCCACTCACCCTCCCCGCGGCCCCTCGGCCGAGGATCCCTGCGCGATGGAGCCGAGGGGCGCACGAAGCCGGGGTGCTGCGAGGCCCCGTCTGCGTCGCTCTGCGGTCGGAGGAGGCGGGGAGAAGGTTGCGCCGCCTCTGACACCTGGACCCTGCGGGGAGCCAGAGAGGTGACTCTCTGGAATCCAGGTCCTACTCCTTCTCCGTCTTTTTCTGGTTTGCTTCGACTTCTGCCCTTTCCACTTTGGAATGAGGTTTGTTCGGTCCTACAAGACAGACGGTAGACCTAAAGCTTTCCTGTCCTAAATTTAGGCGGGCGGTGGTGGTGGCGGCGGGGATGGGGGTGGGGGATGGGAGGACTAGCCGAGCTTGAAGAGGCCAGCCCCCCAAGAAGGCGCCTCTGAGGGGGACAGGACGCGACTGGGCGGGGAGATGCTGGCGCCCCAAGGTCAGGGGAAAGGCGGGGGTTGGGTTTAGCCCTGCAGATGGGAGGGCTTAGGGCCGATAGCAGCTCTGTCTCTTAATCTGTTGTTAACCCAGAAGGGCAGATGGACACGGGAGGGTTGTGACCCACTCTCGGTTGTGACATTAAATGGCAGCATTCTAAACTGTCTGGCCGAGGAGCCGTTTGGCTTTGAGACAGGAGGTGGAAAACATTGCGAGTTAATGCTCGTTAGCCTCTCCCCTGAGCCTGGCCTCAGGCCCCAGGCGGCCTCTGAGAGCTTTAGGCCCCACGCAGATGAGGTTTCTTTTTCCCTTCTTATTTTCATCTTCAAGAAGGTGGAAAGAAGTAAGTTGGGATGCCCTGCCTCAGAATGAAGAGGGCCCGCATTATTTCTTGTTAGAAAGTCTCCTAACTACGGAGCTTGACGACCTGTACAAGTTTTACGTTCTCGTTTTTCTCATGAGCAACAGACGCAGAGAGCGTCGTTTAATTATTTAAGTTTATCCAGATTCACGTCTCCTTATTCCATAGTAGTTTCAGGTGAATCATAGCATTGCATTTTTATTTTCTCCTTTAAAAGATTTTATTTATTTTTAGGTATGTGGGTGTTTTGCTTGAGTGTATATACATAGACCACGCGTGTCCATAGAAACCAGAGGAGGGCATCGGATCTTCTGGACCTAGAGCTGCAGTTGGCTGAGCCAATATGTGGATGCTAGGAACCAGACCTCAGTCCCCTGCAACAGCAACAACTACTTTTCAATCTTGAGCCATCTCCCCCAAGTCCTGTATCTTACTCCATGCATTCATTGGTTGTGAATGTAATCACCGTTTTCTAAGGCTTCTCCTTGAAATAATTATTTCTTGGGATTGAACTCACCAACATCCTGAGCATATTTGGTCCAGTGTTGAAAATTTAGAGGTCCCTAGACTGAATTGAATTTTTGATTTTGTTTATGTAGTAATTGTGGCAGAAAGTCTGTGCTTGTGTGAACAAAATGTTCAAGCTAAACTGGAAATTATAAGGTGCCTATCAAAATTATCACCTGGTCTGTGGCATTGATGCAGTACCAAAAGGTTTAATCTTACTGATTGTGCAGATAGCATGAGGTCATAATCTTGCCAGTTATTGAAGATGATTTATGGTCCAGCTATAGTCAGCCCTTTAGGATTAGTAAGCCTGAGCTGACTGCCATTATTTGGATTCTCTTGGAAAGTCTCCCTCACCTGACAAACCCCAGCATTTTCTACCAGGAATAGATACTTTTTTTTTTTTTTGTATTTGTTTTTGTTTTTCGAGACAGGGTTTCTCTGTGGCTTTGGAACCTGTCATGGAACTAGCTCTTGTAGACCAGGTTGGCCTTGAACTCAGAGATCCGCCTGCTTCTGCCTCCTGAGTGCTGGGATTAAAGGCGTGTGCCACCACCTTCCGGCTAGATTCTATTATATAGTTCTGTAAACTAGTAATCTGAGTTTGTACTGATTGTAGATTCTTTTATTTAGTGCTGTAAGCTAGTAATTTGAGTTACTGACTGTAAATTCTTTTATATAGCTAATTTACTCACAGGAATCTTAGTGTGTTTCTATCTTCTGGTGACTTCTTTAAGTGCTTTGGTGAGGACAGATCTTTCTTTCCTACTTTTCTCTTCACCCATGAGCTAGCTTGGCCAGCTACAATATCTTTATCTCCAAGTCAGTTCCTGTCTCTCAATCTGGTCCCTCATTTAAAAGATGAAGAGCTGAACTCATAGTGTTTTTCAGACTTTGATAGTAGACTGTGAAAGTTGTAGAAGAGTGGGCATGTGGGTGGGAAGAAAGTCTGACTTACCACACATCTCTAATTTTTACTTATGAATCGTATTGAGAGATGCCCAACAGCAAGAAGTAAGCTTTTTTAAAGTAACATATCTCTTGAGGTGTGGTTACACTTGCCTTTGATCCCAGCACTCACAAGACAGAGAATCTGCATTTGAGGCCAACTTGATGTTCCAGGCCAGCCAGGCTGCATAGTGAGACCTCATCTCAAGACAAACAAACAAAGAAAACCATTTGAGAGGCAGTTTCTGTACTCTCTGATTACATCTGACCAGGTTCTCAAGAGGACCAGCAAGATCGGACAGAAGTGAAAATAAAGAAAGTGATGGAGTCTGCCGTCCTTGGGGTAGTAGATGTCCAACAGTTTCCTTTAGGTGGAAAGGAGAGAATCTGATCAATTACAGGGTTCCTTAGTAATAAGGCAATTGAAAGCTGCTTCTGGGTATCTAATAACAGCCAAGAACAATGAAAATGGTGGCTTCATAGAGCTCATTCTTAACTCATTACTACCCAAAGGAGAGGACAACTCAAGGCCCAAGAGATGGCACTTGTACCGTGAGAAAACTGAGAGCCTTCTCACATGGCTTTCTCAGAGGTAAATGGGAACTAGAGAGCAGCCCTTTTGTTATTCTCGTTACCAGGAGGAAGCATGCCCTGCTACTGATGAGGATATAATAGTTTTTGGTCAGACTCATGAAGTTTGGTGGGAGTGACTCAGCAGCGCCAAGCTTAACCAGCTGTTGGTGTACTGATAATAGACGTTTAGAGACCGGTCTACTGCCTCTGAGTTTTTCTTTGACTGTCATGACTCCCAGCAAACATTGCATTACTGCACATCTCCAACTAAGTTGCCTGTAATGGGATGAAAACAGGAACTTCTTGGCTCAAACTTAAATACTAAGTTATTTGTTTGTTTATTTTTTGAGACAGTACCTCACTATGTAGCCCTGGCTGTCTTGTAGCTCTTTGTTATAGACTAGGCTGGACTCGGATTCACAAAGATCTGCTTGCCTCTGCCTCCTGAATGCTGGGATCAAAGGGGTGCTCTGGTTTAGATTTATAATAGTGTACCCACTTAATGATTTTTAAAACTTGGTTGTGCCTAGGGTGTAGCTCAGAGAGCCCTTAAAATCTGGCATATACAAGGCCCTGGGTTCAACTCAAGAACCACAAATAAAACAAGACTCTCCCTCTAAAAAAATACTATGCCAAAATAAAATCCTGGTATTTCTCTTGTTTTTAATCTTCAAGTAATTCAGGAATGTTGTGCAAGTGTTAGCCAGTCTTCTGGGAAAAGGGTAAGAAATAGAAAGAGAATCTTACATTATTGCTATGTAGATACATCACATAGTTTTCAGGTTGGTCAGAATTCCTAGGCCTGGGGCTGGAGATATGGCTCAGCGGTTAAGAGCACTGCCTGCTCTTCCAAAGGTCCTGAGTTCAATTCCCAGCAACCACATGGTGGCTCACAACCATCTGTAATGGGGTCTGGTGCCCTCTTCAGGCATACAGACAGACAGACTATTGTATACATAATAAATGAATAAATATTAAAAAAAAAAAGAATTCCTAGGCCTATCTAACTCCAGTTCCAGGGGATCTGTCACTTACACAGACATACACGTAAGCAAAACACCAATGCACATAAACAATAAAAGGGTTTGTTTTCCTCCTTAGCTTGTTGGCTAGTCTTAAACTAACACTCTGCACTCACAAATCCTCCTCCCTCCTTTTTCCTTCTCCCACTTCTTCCCTCCCTCCCTCCAACCATTTTCCCCTGGGGCTAGAGAGATGGCTCAGTGATTAAGAACACTTGCTGCTCTTGCAGAGGACCTGGATTTGGTTTTTAGCACTCAGGTAGCAGCTCACACCCATCTCTAACTCCAGTCCCAGGTGTGATGCCTTCTTTTGGTATGCTTGTGATGCATATACATACATACAGGGAAAACATTCACTCACAGAAAAAAACAAACAGAAAAAAAGATGAGGCCCAGTGGCTCACACATGTGTGAGGGCAGCCTCACTGCTGAGGAAGAGCCTACTTCGAAAGAAAGACATTAGGGCCATTGAGATAGCTCAGGGAGGTAAAGGTACTTGTTGAAGCAACCTGTCCATTTCAGTTCTTGGAACCTACATAAATCAGGAGAGACCCAATCATAGTTGGCAAAGTTGTTTTTTACCCTCCTGCCTTGTATAAACAATAAATAGTCATAATAATAACAACAACAAAAAGCCCAAACAAAAACCAAACCTAATTCAGGGTGTAAGAGTGTAAACTCATTCTTAAGAGTTGGATAGCTGAGCCAGGCGGTGGTGGCACACATCTTTAATTCCAGTACTTGGAAGGCAGAGGCAGGCGAATCTCTGTGAGTTCGAGGCCAGCCTGGTCTACAGAGCTAGTTCCACGACCGACTCCAAAGAGAAGCCCTGTCTCGAAAAAACAAACAAACAAACAAACAAAAAGGTTGTGTGGCACATGCCTTTAATCCCAGCAATCAGGGGGCTGAGGCAGTTAGATCTCTTGAGTTTAAATTCTGTTTTATAACATTTTCCATAATAAATTAGTCTTTTTTTTCCCCAGTGAAGCAGGAATTCCTGTCTGTGGGCTTTGATAAATTTTACTCTTGATTTTTGTTTTTGTTTTGTATTTGTTTGTTTATTGGGGGAGGGGGTTCACTGTGTAGCCCTGGTTGTCCTGGAAATCGTTTTGTAGACCAGACTGGTCTTGAACTCACAGAGATCCGCCTGCCTTTGCCTCCTGAATGCTGGGATAAAAGTAAGCCTGGCCTTACTCTAGATTTTTTCAAGTCTATTTAATTATTGTGTGTGTGTAGATAGGAGTGTGTGTAGAGGTGAGAGCTACTTGTGAGTCAGTTTTCTCCTCCCACCATGTGGGACCGAGATGAAACCCAGGTTGTCAGGCTAGGCAGCAAGGGTCTTCACCTGCTGAGCCATCGTACTAGCCCCCCCCCCCCCCAATTTAGGTAGCGGTAATCCCAGCGGTGTAAAGCAGCAGCTAGCAGCTGTTGATGGCTCTGGGCAGCCCCTATAGCGGTGCAGCTACAGTTTCATCAGCCTTAAAGCAGAGAGCTGGAGGCTGGCGGTCATGAAGTAGTCTGAGTTCTCAGTCTCCAGCATGCCCTTGAGTTTAGTCCTATGAATAGGCTGCATTACTCGGATGAGAGAAAACAGCTCTTCACCCAGCATTGGCTGTTGCCGTCAGAGATATGGTGCCACATGGAAACAGTTAGAGGGCCCTGTACTTGAACAGCAGGCTTTTGTGTGGTTAACTGTGGTTGTGCATGAAGATGTTAGGGATGTTGTGCTCCCACAGTGTATTTATGCTGGGCATGGCTACTGCAGCAAGCAGTAGCTGCAGGGCTGCAGCCAGCCTCTCGTGAATGCGCTAGTAGCACATTGGGTTGATATGACTCAGCTTGCGAGGAAGTTAGCTTCAGTACTGAAGGCTGGTGTAAGAGCAGCAGGGACTGGCATTAGACACATCTTGGGATGAGTGAGTCCTGGCACCCTGAGTGTTCCAGTGAGTGCTTGGTCATAGTTGAGCAGTGAGACTGGGAAGGTAGTAGACGGCTGTCTGAGTCTGGGGTAGCTGTGTGAAGTAACCTGAAGGAGGTGCTGGCTGATCACAGGGTTGAGCACAGCCTGTTTTTTTTGTTTGTTTGTTTTGGTTTGGTTTTTTGGCCATTTTCTGTATACTGGTGATGAGATGAGCCTGTCACTCTGTGCTGAGTCAAAGCTCCATATGGTGATCTAGTAGAGCTTCTGTAGCGAAGAGACTGCTGCTCAGTGTAAGGAGATAAGGTCACACACTGTGGCTAGACTGGCCTCAAATGTGCAGTGATTGTCCTGCCTCAGCTTCCTGCTTGCTGGCATTATAGACATAGCCACTATGCCTGGCAGTAACTGGATTTTTTTATTTTTAAATTAATTTATTTTTCTTTTTTTTTTTTTTTTTTTTTTTTTTTTTGAGACAGACTTATATTGCTGACCTGGAGCTCACTGTATATAACAAGTCTTGAACTTGCAGTGATTCCCCTGCCTCTGCTTCCTGAGTTCTGGGATTAGAAGTGCAAGCCATCATGCCCAGCAGGATATGGATTTTAAATTTTGGTTTAAATTTAAATGGCCACATTATTAGTGGCCGCCAAATTGGGCAGGTTATTCCAGGCAGTTGGTTCTGGAGCTCTTCCTTTGATTTATTCCTGTTTTCTAGTTTGAGATTAAAATCCTTCTGATAGGCCTAATTCTTGTAGATAGTTTAAATAAACATATACTCTCTTATACTGATTGAGAGCACGTACTGGAGAAAGATGTGATTTATTCCCCCTTTTACCTGGCAGTTTTAACCAGAATATTCTGTTACTGAGTGACAGCCCAGTGAGTGATGTAACGGTGATAGTGGTGCAGCCGAGCGTTTCTAGTGATGGCTCAGAAAAGTAGTGTCGTGTCCCGGCCCCCCCCCCCCCGCCCCCCAGCAGGGCCTTAGGACGTCTCACCTCTGCATTCTGAATGGTAGCATGTTGTGTGTATTTCAGGGCAAACAGGTAGTCAGCATCCCCACTTCAGTGCTCCGTGGGGCAGGGAGTGGAGTGGGGTTAGAGTTATAATTTTAGGATTTGTGGCAAAGGCAGCTGAGTTGGTACCCTCCTCCTGTTACTCTGTTCCCGGTAGGTGTTTCTCCTTAAGGCTTGGCCTCACTAGCCTTCTGCGCTTAGTGTCCAGTATTGGAATATTAGAATTCTCCCACTGGGATGTCATGGTAGATTAATTTTTTTAGCCTTGAGTGTGCATTTTTTTTGTGTGTTGTTGTGGTTTATAATTGAAGTATCTGCAAGCTTCATAACTGCTTATTTTTCCTCTTTGTGTTTAAATTTCAGGAAAAGGAGAAGAAATGGCAATGATGATGACAACCACCTCCCACCCCAGACCAAAAGAAGCAGTAGGAACCCCATCTTCCAGGACTCCTGGGACACAGAGGTAGGCAGAATGGCCACAGGCTCAGCTGCATGACCTGGTCTCCATTGCATAATTGGAAGGAGTTCATTTTTCTAAGAACACCTCACCTGCCTTGACTGTGGGAGTTTCCACCTTTACTTGCCTCTTTGCATCATTACGTTAAGGCAGGGTTTTGATGAGTAGCCCTGGCTAGCCTGGAACCCAGACCTGGTTGGCCTCAAGTTTGTGGCTGTCCTTTCCCTTAGTGCTGTGGTTGCGGTTCTGTGCTGGCACACTGGGCAACCTGTATTTCTACTTTTGAATCAAAGTCTCTTTGAAGAAGGTAGGGACTGACTGTCCTGCCAGGTAAGCAGTGTGTGCGTGTTCATTTTTATCCACCCCCACCTCATTTATAATCGTTTTATGGACTTTGGAAGCCATCTTTGAATCCTCTAATTTTACATTTCCTGGTGGTTTATGGGAGGCATATTTGTTTCTTGGATTCAGTAGCAGCTCTAGACAGCAGAGTGTGTACAGTGTGTGTACACGGATCCCCTTTTTGTCCCGGGATTAAGGGCATGCACCACCACCGCCCAGCCACAGATCACTTGTTACAGGGTTTTTATTTTATATTATTTTTAAAAGAAAGGCCAGAAGAGGGCACTAAATCTCATTACAGATCTCATCTGTGGGCCACCATGTGGTTGCTGGGAATTGAACTCAGAACCTTGGGAAGAACAGCCAGTGCTCTTAACCACTGTACCATCTCTGTGTGCTAGAAAGTGTTCTTCCACAAGGCTGTGAGGGGAGGAGAGTGAGGTATAAAGGTGGGAAGCACTCTCAAAGTTTTTTGCATTTTGTGTTTTCCAGAAAGAGTACTCTGCTGTGGGGGATATTTTTTTGTGCAGTTGGGAATTGATAACAGAACTCAAGGTTAAAGTGCTGTTGGTGAATCATGCTGCCTAGACATTCTGGCTCCTAACAGTTGTGCTGTGGTGACAGACATCTAGTTCTTAGACACTGAACAGATCCTGCTGTATTTGGTTCAACTAACAGGGTTTGCCTCATATCCAGACTCTGAGCTAACAATCCAAAGTCACCAATGGGGCACTGACCTTCAGGACCAGCTAATAAACAAATCTAGAGTATGTTCCTGTCATGATTAGCCTTGAGTTCTGATAACATTTCTTTTAAAATCTTAGTTTACTTTTTTCTTCTTTAAAAAAGTGTTTAGCCTGCCTGGGGAGGGTGGAGTGGGTGGGTGGCATGCCCTTAATCCCAGCACTCTTGAAGCAGACGTAGGCAGATCTTGTGAGTTTGAGAACAGCCTGGTCTATAGAGTGAGTTTGAGGATAGCCAGAGCTACATGGAGAAACCCTGTCTCGAAAACTAGACAAAATAAGTGTTAGGTTGAAAAGAAGTTGAGGTTTGATTGAATGAATGATTGAGGAAATACTGGGGTGACAGAAAACAGAAGTCAGAGTATGCTGTGAACATCTTAGGTTAAAAAGTAGCAGCCATGGCTTGCCACCATCCTGTGTGTGGTTTTGATGCTTTAGAACAGGTTTAAAAATGTCATCTTTTTTTTAACCTAAAAATTTCGTTTCTGTTTTAAAAATTAAGAAATTATCTTTACTTACCTTCATTTGGGTGTGTTTGTGTCCTGGAGGTGGGCACTGTGGAGGTCAGAGGATAATGATGCTGAAGGGCACTGGTTCTCAAATCCTTCCACTATGTGGGGCTTAAGAAGCAAAGACATTGGGCAATGTCTCTGCCTGCTGAACTGCCTCACTGGACATGGTTTTGTTGTCTTCTTTTTCTTCTCTTTCTTTCTTTGTGTCTGCCTGCCTGCCTGCCTGCCTGCCTTCCTTCCTTCCTTCCTTCCTTCCTTCCTTCCTTCTTTCTTTCTTTCTTTCTTTCTTTCGGTTTTTTGAGACAGGGTTTCTCTGTAGCTTTGGAGCCTGTCCTGGAACTAGCTCTTGTAGATCGGGGCTGGCCTCGAACTCAGAGAGATTCACCTGCTTCTGCCTCCCAAGTGTTGGGATTAAAGACGTGCGCCACCACCGCCCGGTTTTTCTTTCTTTCTTTCTTTCTCTCTCTCTCTCTCTTTTTTAAATAATTTTTTGTTTTGTTTTCTTGGGCCTCAAACTCACAGAGATTTCCCCCTCCCCACCTTTTTGTTGTTGTTGTTATGTTTGGGGTGGGGGTGGATAGGATCTCTCCCTTTAGCTTTTGTTAGCAGGAACTTGCTGTGTAGACGAGGCTGTCCTTAAACTTGAAGAGATTCACCTGCCTTTGCCTTCCGAGTGCTGGGGTTAAAGGTGTGTGCCACCATGCCAGGCTATGTTGTTTTAATTGTAGTTTGTAGAAAATACCCTTGACTTAGTTTCTACCATCTATGAATTGGTGTCCCAGAAGAAAATAGTGGCTTGTGACTTAACCTTTGGGTCACCTCTCTTTCTTGTCCAGAGAAGTTTCACTGTTGAACTAGTCTGGAATCAATTGTCTGAAGTGTGGACTAGCTGTTCCTCATTATAGTTTAAGGCCACGGTAACAACCTTTGTCTGCACCATTTGGCAAGCTCACTCAACTTGGTATCTTAACTATTACTTTCTGTGTTGCTTGCTGGACATAGGCTGCTGTGCTGAGCTTACTCTGTGCTGGGGTGATGAGTGAACAACAGGTGATCCGGAGAGTCAGAGGATAGGGGCTTCTAAAGTGGGAAGTGAATCCCGAATGCCTGACTTCCCCACTGGAATAGGTTCTTTTGTTTGTAGCTCTTCTCTGATAATTGTGTATAAAAGAGAAGAATAAATTATTAATATTGTCAGTTGATGTAATAAATAAACACTGGCTTAATACAAGTGTTAAGCCGGGTCAGCAAGATATGCTTCCTTTAGGATGAGATAACCCATTTCCTGGGGCTGGAGAGATGGCTGCTCTTCTAGAATTCAATTCCTAGCACCCACACAGCAGCTCAACAACTGTCTGTTACTCCAGTTCAAGGGGATCCAACACCCTCACACAGATAATCAGGCAGACAAAGTGCACATAAACAACACCAATACACATAAAAAACAAAACAAGTCATTTCCGGGGCTATCTTGAAATACTAAAATTGTTTTAGACTTCTTTTTCTGGTAACGTTTTTCCATTTGTGAGGCATTTGTTTAAAATCACTACCTCTAATCAACTTCTAAGATTTGCTCTTTTCTGCTACATGTTACAGTTGGCCGTGCAGCATTTGGCTCGTGCAGCTGTTCCACTGGGTCAGTTGTCTGAAAGCTGGAGGTAGTGGACACCTCTTGCCTTGATGTTCTGAGTGAAGGGCTGTGAGACCTGACTTGGAGAGTTGCTCTGCCAGCAGGAGCTTTGCTTTGTGTGTGTTTTCATCCTCTCATTTTAGTTAAGACTTTTCCCCACTCAGGTAGAGAAATTGGGCCACAGAAAAATAGCATGGTTGCTAGGAGGCCGGGAAGGGCCGTACAGCCTGGCCTTAGGGCTGCTTACCCTCAGCTGGTGTGAGCTGCTTTCAGAAGACATGCCAGCTCAGATGGGCTTTGCTAAGTATAGCCATGAGCAGCCAGACCCTAGGCTTCGCTTCAGTCACAACAGAATTCTTTCATCTGGAAAATTTTCCCAAGTAGATGCTCTAATAATTATTACCTGGGGAAGTAGGCACTTCGCCAATTCAGTCATCTCTCCAGCCCCTGGCACTATTTTTAAATTAAAGTATAGTTTGCTAATGTAAGATTAATTTTTTTTTAAGCAATTCTAAGGCATGGCTCGGCTCAGTGAGCAAGACAGGAAGTGATTTATTAACTTGTATCTTCCTTTTGAGTCCTGTATAAAGGCAGCAGAATTCTCTCTTTACTTTCTTTTCCTTCCCTCCCTTCCTCTTTCTTTTTTAAAGTTTACTTATTGTATGAGTGTTTTACCTGCATGTATGTATGTCACATGTGGCCCTATTGCCCCCAGAGATCAGAAGAAGGCATTGAGTTCCTTGGAACTGGAGTTTGAGTGATTGTGAGTTGCCGTGGAGATGCTGGGAACTGACCCCTTTGTCCCCTGTAAGAGTAACTCCAGCAATATTATTGAGCACTTACTGAGGCTGGTCAAAATGGACTAGATTAGGCTATTTCTGTAATCCCACTACTTGAGAGGTTGAGGTAGGAGGATCACCATTAATTCGAGGCCAACCACAGGGTCTCGAATTACCATAGTAAGTTCTAGGCCAGCCTGGGTATAATGTAAAATCCTGACTCAAAACAACAACAACAAAACCCTTAAAGAAGCTGGTTGAACTCACAGGAGCTACTCTTGCTGGTTGAGTTGTGGTTGTACACATGTAGGAGTATTCAGAGGCAGGATGACCACTGCTGTGATTGAGGAGAACTAGCTGTTAGCTGACAGTGGGAATGTGTGTTGTGTGTATTTATTCACTCACTCATTTATTACTTACATGGATGATTGGACCTAGAGCTTTGTGTGTGCCAGTCTAAGTGCTGTACTGCTAAGCTACATTCCCAGCCCGGTTTAGCATCTTTTTTTTTTTTTTTTTTGGCTGTTTTTTTTTTTTTTTGGGCCCCCCCCCCCCCACACACACAGGGTTTAGCTCTGGCTGCCCTGGAACTTGCTCTGTAGTCCAGGCTGACCTTGAACTCAGAGATCTTCCTGCCTCTGCCTCGTGAGTGCTAGGATTAAAGGCATGCTCCACCACTGCCAGATTAGTATAATCTTTTAAAAAGATAGTTTCAATTCATGTGTAAGAGTGTTTTATTTGCATGTTTATCTGCACTATGTGTCTGTGGAGGTCAGAAGATGATGTAGGTTTTTCAGGAACCAGAGTTACATAAGGTTGTGAGCAACCATGTTGGTACTAAGAACTAAACCCAGGTCCTCTGCAAGAGCAGACAGTGCTTTTCACTGCTGAGGCATTCCTTCAACTCCAAGTTGGGCATAATTTTAGAAATGTTTAATATTAAAGTCATTTTAAATTTTGCTTTAAAATTAGATATATTGTTTAATTTACCATTACATTT